CTGTACTTAGATATTGCTTGCAATGCGCATTTAGGGACTCTATGACAACCAATTCAAAAGGTTTTGATACAGCACTCAGCGACGTGATTCCCCGGTAGTTGTTTACGTCGTTTTTGCTTCCCTTTTTATGAACAGGAAACATATCCGCAGTCTTCCAGCAAGACGGAAAGATGCCGCTGGAAAGAGAGAGCTGGAATATGCGGCGCAGTGGATCTAAAAGACAAGTGATGTTCTTTTTAAGAATAATCGACGGAATACCATCGGGTCCCAGCCTTAGCTGAAGTCTTAAGTTTTGATGCTACTCTAGAAATCGTATCTTTAGTGGCTTCGACCATACTGAGCGTTTGGTTGACCAAAGGAACATTACTGGCCGCGGAAGAAATGATATTAGCGGAGAGTTGCTCGTCTTCAAACACACTAGCAAATTTGGCTGAGAACAGGTTGCAAATGTCTTGTTGATTGCCAGCAGTTTCACCATTAAAAATCATGGAAGTGGGTAAGCCGACTTCCCTGCGTTGCTCATTTACGAAGTTCCAGAAGGATTTCGGGTGTGATTTTAGCCGCCGTTGAATCCTCCTTTGATAGCGTTGAAAACAGAGACGACTTTTAGAGCAACCGTAACGGTCGTTGTCATTTGCGCGACTATTTTAACAGCACACAGCGCTCTCATTTTAGTTTAGTTACTCTTCTCCACACCGGTCGCTGCTATCGCGGTTATCAATTTACTCGCCGTAGTCCGTACCCAACCTGGTCTATACAAGGTGTGGAGATCTAGCCCTGACGTATGTGTTGGTAGAGGGAAAAATGTAAACTTTGCGGGAGACGATGGTGACGACGTCATAACACTCGAAAGGAAATTTGCGAAATAAGAAGTAAAACAAATCCTAGCTATTTTTGCATGATCATTTAGCTTGATTGTATTCTTTTGCAAAGTCGCCGCGACATATTAGCTGGTAATTTTTATTTTATGATAACTCCTTACTTGAAAACAGGCAAAAACTCACAAACAGACTACTTTTTCATGGTATACAGTGTGATAATTCAATAGAATTTTGCATTTATATTATAAATATTTACTTTTTCAGCTTAGAGATGAACTAGCCTACAGAAGTTAAAGTAAAGTTAATGTAAAGTTAATGTAAAGTTAAAGTAAAGTTAAAGTAAAATTAAAGTTAAGTTAAAGTTAAGTTAAAGTTAAGTTAAGTTAAAGTTAAGTTAAAGCTAAGTTAAAGTTAAGTTAAAGTTAAGTTAAAGTTAGGCTAAAGTTAAGTTAAAGTTAAGTTAAAGTTAAGTTTAAGTTAAGTTAAGTTTAAGTTAAGTTAAAGTTAAGTTAAAGCTAAGTTAAAGTTAAGTTAAAGTTAAGTTAAAGTTAAGTTAAAGTTAAGTTAAAGTTAAGTTGAAGTTAAGTTGAAGTTAAGTTAAAGTTAAGTTAAAGTTAAGTCAAAGTTAAGTTAAAGTTAAGTTAAAGTTAAGTTGAAGTTATGTTAAAGTTAAGTTAAAGTTAAGTTGAAGTTATGTTAAAGTTAAGATAAAATAAAGTTAATATCATTTTATATTCTGTTTATACTCACGAGTGCGAGTGTGTGTGCGTGTGTATGCGCCCGTATGTATGTGTTTGTGTACCTATTATAAATCACTACAATCAGCATTAGTTTACCAAAAACGATCCCGGCTGCTGCAAACCTTTCCCCACATCCAACATCCCAGTGATTACTCGTGGAAGCGCAGAGGATTTCTCGGTTTCCTTCACAGCGAGTATCACGTCAACACATTCCTTCCCATTCCCTATTGAACCTGCATTCGGACACGGCCGGCGCTGGTATTGCTAAATATTAGATCTTCAGTTTTTACACTTTGAGGATGAATGTTAGTCCCAAACATCATCTGTTGGTTCTCTGTATAATTGCAGCTGATCTGGTAATAACAGAGTAGCAACCGTGGGCGGTCAATAATGCTAATGCTAATGCTAAATACAGTGTGATAATTCAATAATCAATAAATTATCTCAACATTTAGCGACAGACCATTCATAAATTTTGGTAACATACATACATTCTATAATCCATATTAATTTTCCTATGCAAGCGCCGATCGAAACAAACGCTATGACGTCACTACAAGGGTGATTTAGTGAACGAAAGAAACGAATCGTGCGAAGCGCAATGAAAGCCGAGTGAAAAACGAAGTGCACTAATACATTCAGGCCTACAATTCCACACCTTGTATATACCAGGTTGGTCCGTACCGGTAGTGAACATTTTGACATTTCTACGAATAGCAACCTTTCTCCCGCGCTGCTAAGAGCAACCGTACCAATGAGTAAATAAGGCACATTTACGAACCTCTACCATAACGTTACTTGCGTACCGGGGGTTGCTATTCACGTGGGGGAAATAGCAATCCGCACCTTGGGAAGTAGTGAGTTCATAAATTTAGCAACCCGGTAGCAACGCATCAGACGGTTGCTATTTTGAATAAACGGCAAAAGTTTGTTTTGCCGGTGTGGAAAACGGTAACTTAAATTATGACTCTGATAACAACGACCGGTGTGGAGAGGAGTGATTAAGCCAAAATGGAAACGCTGTGCGTAAGTAAAATACTGCCTCAAATGGCAACGACTGGTACGGTTGCTCTAAATTTGGTAACGCGCTTCTCAGAGCAACCGTAACGGTACGCTGCTAAACTCATTTTAGCAGCCCTCATCATAGCGCAGCTACCGTATCGGAGGTTGCCATACGAGTAACTAAAATAGCAGTCGGCTTCTCGGTGAGAAGCGCGCTACCAAATTTAGCAGCGCGATAGCAGCGCGGGAGAAAAGTTGCTATTCGTAGAAATGTCAAAATGCTCACTACCGGTACGGACAAAGGCGAGTAAATTGATAACCGCGATAGCAGCGACCGGTGTGGAGAAGAGTGACTAAACTAAAATGAGAGCGCTGTGCGCTGTTAAAATAGTCGCGCAAATGACAACGACCGTTACGGTTGCTCTTAACCGCTTATACTCGTGGTTGAGTCTGACATAGTAGCATTTCAGCGGTAGTGTGCGGAGTTTAGTAAATCTTCTGAGAGCAGCCTACTTAGAGCAACCGTAACGGTCGTTGTTATTTGCGCGACTATTTTAACAGCGCACAGCGCTCTCATTTTAGTTTAGTCACTCTTCCCTACACCGGTCGCTGCTATCGCGGTTATCAATTTACTAGCCGTAGTCCGTACCGGTAGTGAGCATTTTTACATTTCTACGAATAGCAACCTTTCTGCAGCGCTGCTATCGCGCTGCTAAATTTGGTAACGCACTTCTCACCGAGAAGCCGACTGCTATTTTAGTTACTCGTATGGCAACCCCCGATACGGTAGCTGCGCTATGATGAGGGCTGCTAAAATGAGTTTAGCAGCGTACCGTTACGGTTGCTCTTAGTTTTTTTTTCAACGAGCGAAGATCTTTCGTCACCCACGGGACGCGAGAGTCGATATGGATGATCTTTTTGGAAACGTGTCTGTCAATGACATATGCCAAGAAAAGGTTTGTGCAGCCATGTTAACGTCTACAGGATCTAAAATATGCTCCCAATCTAGGTTAGACAGCACATGGATGATACTGCGATGGTCAGCTCTACGACAGTCATATGACACATCGTTTGGAGTGCTGGTGAAATCATGGACAATACTATTTTCGATCACGATAACTAAAGCAGGGTGATGATGCACTTCCTTGACTAAAGGTTCGGTGCCGTGGAGAGGAAAGGAGCTGTATCACGAGCACTCACAAAGCAGAGATCCAGGGTGCGGTTGTTTTCATTCAGGACAAAAGAAACCACAATGGGTTGGAGTCCATGCAATGTCCGGCAGGTTAAAATCGCCAAGAACAATAACTTCGTCAGAAGGGCCTGCTTTGTCTGAAGCGCCCAAGACGGATCGACAATGTGCGTCAATAAGCTCCAAGTCACGGGTTCGATCTGGAGGGATGTACACTGTACAGAGAAGCAATTGACGATCACCAAGTTGAATAGCCACCCACACTTGTTCAACCCTGTTCCAGGAATCGTCCTCGATAACTTTCAGCTTGGAATTAACTTAGTGTAGTTCAGTGTTAGAAGTCTAGCATTTTGCATTTAGCATTTTGTAAAACGTAAAACTTCACCGAAGTGTAAGGAATTTTGTAGAAGATCTAAAAATAGGTCAATAAACTACTAAGAACTTCAGGGAGCCTCGCTTAAGTTTAGGGAACTTCGTTGCAGTTTGTCGCAGATCTTACTTCAAACAAGCTCCATGAACTTTTTGGAGCTTTTGGGAACTTCGTTGTGGTGGTTTATGTGTTGCAATTATTTATTTTGAAAGCCTAGCAGTAGCGTTTCCAAAATACTTGAAACTCTGACTGGGAAACGGAGCCGAGGATTGAATTGTTAAGAAGTTTGGTTTGAAGATTATGAAAACTAATTACTGTAAAAATCAACTTAGGTTCACTTGATGGGGTCCCACATATGTTTGGTCCCCATAAACGTAAATACGGCCTTGATTCAGATTATTGAGTCTGTTAGTTGTGCTCACGTCTATCACCGTTTTGGAAATCGAACAGGCTAAAAACACCTCACGTAGTATGATAATCAATATTATAGTTTTTTTTAACCTGTAAATACTACAGACTCGCCCTCAAATTTTGCTCGGATCTGCTGCAGAAGTCAAACAGGTCTGGTTTTGAAAATTCGCCGTGATCCGTGTCCGTGATATTGTGAACCTTCTATAAGTTTTGGGGACACATTCAAAATTTGCTGAACGTGCTTTGTAACGTCTCGTGGCCGAGCAGACAAGCAAACAGATAAACGAAATTGAGCGTGAATCAACATGTTATGCGTAGGTTCCACTAGGTCTACTAAACTAATCCAAGTCCCCCCCCTGAGGTATCTAAGCTCGGTAGTCGGTATTATTCCGTCAGTTTTATTGAACACAAACAATGTTTTTCCTTTCTAATATTAAAAATCCCAATCTCTACCCATGCCACCGTAGGTCAAATCCCGGCTGGTCGTGCCCCGGTTGCTGGAATCGATCTGCCAGCTGCTGCCGGACAAAAGCAATCTCGAGGACATCTGCGGCGATCTGCAGGCGATCCGCATCATCGGCCAGCGGACGGGCATTCCTGCCTCGGTGAAAACGCTACTGCAGAACTCGCTGCACGCGGTCCTGCTCAAGTTCAAGGACGAGATGTACAGTGACGGTAATGTTCAAATAAAGTCGACTCAATTCGGCAGATTTAGCTAATAGAGACATTTTTTTTCTTCAATCGAACAGAGGAGACGCCACCGAAGCGGCGAAAGATGACCATCAACAACAGTTCAGCGCAACAACAACCTCAAGTACAACGACAGCCTATTTTGCGTTCGCCGGTTTCCGAACCGGAGCAGGAACAGGACAACAAGGCTCCGCAGCATCTGATTGTAAACCATTCCAGTGAGGAGGCGGACAGTGAGCGGAAGCAGCCGGAAGAATCGACAGTGGCGAAGCCAGTGAGTGAGGATAAGGAAGAGGAGTCGGCGGTGAGTAAAGTGTGTTCGGAGGCGATGAACTGCTCCGAAGAGCAACAGCTGCAGCAGCAGCAGCAGGAGAAGAAGGAAGATGGCGAAGAACGTATGGAGCAAGATGGGGTGGCAGGAAGCAGTGAGGCTAGCAGTGAAAAGCGAGATGAGAGTGTGAAGCAAGACGAGTCAGGTAGTAGTAGTAGTGCCAGTAGCAGTAGCAAAGCAGTCGAATCGTCGGAGGACAAAGGCAAAAGCAATCCATCCGAAGGGGAGCAATCGAAGCACCAGCAGCAGGGTCTCAGTGAACAGGAACTGTACCAGCGAAATCTAATTAAGGACATCGAAAGTCACATCGAGCTAATATTTGAGTGTTTGGACGACGACGAGGACGATGAGGATGGTGGTGGTGCTGGAGCTTCTTCAAAGGCAGCCGCGTCATCATCGTCGACGACAATGCCTCCGAAGGAGGAATCAGATGAAGGCGTTGAATCCGAAGCCGTAAGTAGAAGCAGTTTAAGCAGTGGAACGACGCCAATTTCGGCGACGGGTTGCCCCAGTCCTAGCAAAATCAAACGGAGGAACCCATCCTGTGAAGAACCTCCAGTGATGATGAAAGAGGTGGCTACTGCACCGGAACAGACGGAAGCGACGGCGAAGGAAGATGAAGGCGACGCGAAGGTTGAATCGTGAGTGCTAGACGTGCGGTAATAGAGATTGAAGGCAAGTGAAGAAAGGAAGGCGGCGTAGGTTTTTAAGAAAGCAAGTCAGAAGGAGAATTTAGGAACAGTCGATTGATTATGCATAGAGTTTCGGCGAACCAAAATTGTGATGTTTTTAAAAGTTAAGAGTTTTTTTTTTGGTACCAAAAATATAGAGTGAGCTGAACGAGGGGGTAAGAAGGGTTGAAGGAGGAATTAGTTTTTTTCTTTCGTGTCTAAATTTATTTGTGAAGCATTATTTTTTCGGCATTCGAAAGTCACCAGTAGTAAGGGTCCTTCTCGTTTAAATACAACATTGTGGGTAGAGAATTTGCGTGAGCGAACGTTGAACGCGGCAGAGTGAGAGAGGAGGGAGGGGGGGTAGGGGGTATGACGCAGGTTTACAATTTTTTTTTACTGTCAAATAGTAGTTTCCGTATTTAAGGGAAAAGGTGCTCGTGTAATTTTAATCACGTTTCTTATCGATACATGCATATTTTTTAAAACGTAATCCAGCTCATTCGCGCGAAAGCATAAAACACATTTAGAGCAAGCCAATTGGTGATCTAGCAACAAAGTGCTGCCGTTTTGTGTTTCTTTCATGTTTTTTTTCCTTAGTTGCTACGTATTATGACTATAAATTATAATTTAAAACTTATTATTATTATGACTATTATATTCTAGATCATTGAGAAGTGAACGCTATTGAAAAAAAAATCGTATTTATTAAACTAGCTAGTCTATGAAAAAATGTCCTTAAGTTTTGTTATACCATCCTATTTGATTGATGTGCAGATCGTAAGAAGAAGAAAAAAAAACAAGCATAAGCAAGCGTAGGGTGATGTTGAAAATAGAAGACAAGTGAAAACAAAAAAGAAAATGGCAAAGAGAAGCTAACATAGTGCGAGAAAGAAAATCCGAATTTGATTTCTGTTGTGTTAAATTTTTCCCTTACCCATCAGTCAATTGACGATCAATGTTTTGTTAACGCTGACAAACAGATGAAGACTCAAAGCTCAACTGTTTCAAACAAATGCAATGTTTCATATGGTGGGGAAAATGTGGTTGAAAATTGCGTTCAAACTTAATCAAATCGAGATGTTTCGGTTTAATCAAGAAGCATTAGTCACCCCAGAAAAGATTTACAAAATGGACGTCCTGAAGAAGACTCATTTAACTGTCAATGCGTACTCAGTAATGGTTAATTTTTTCCGCAATTGCTACGTTTCGATCTTAGTTTCATCGCCCTTTTCAGGGTCCCTTGCGCCATGTTTAAATTTTAAAACACCATTTTTGATTGGTACCTATACTCTCAGAGAAAGTAGTATCGGACAAATGTATATCACCTCGCATTTTTTTTGCTCGCTCCAAAAAAGTTCAAAGAGCTGTAAGTTTTACGGATGTTCAGTTTTCTGAAATCTCGGCTGACGGTTGGTCAAGCATCATTTATTTACTTGTCCGCATCAACAGGCTGAGGCCAATGATGATTTAAGTAACTTATATTAGGTAGGTCAAAGAATAAAAATTAACTGTGTCAGAAAAGAACGATGAGAAGTATCTTCGTAGCAGCTGTCGAGGCAGATGCAAATCGAAGATGCTCGAGACTCGATTGAACACTCGTTGCAGCCCACCTTTTGCACCGATCATGCCATAGTTTGTGCACTGAACTGGCAGTCTCAGCAAATCGTTGTTACGTAGCGCACGATTGCACTGCAGTCAATTCTATCTTGTAAAGTGACTGCGGTGAACAGGGCGCTAGAGGTATCTCTTCTAGTTTGGAGAGACTCCAGATCAATCAGCTGGCAACGACTTTCATAGCTGGGCAGATGAAATGGGTCTCTCCAAGGCAGCTTCCGCAGAGCGAACCGAAGACCAGCACCATTGTTTTAATTTGAAATCCAGACCACAGAACAGTATTCCAGAATGGATCGCAGCAAGCGTACTGTTGTGACTTCAGACAGTTGATTTCGAAGAAATTCTTTGCTATCCTGAAGATAGAGCCCAATGCCCTAGACGCCTTGTCAATGTACGAGATGTGCTGCTTGTAGTTGAGAATGAGAATGCAGAATAACACCCAGATCTTACACATGGTTCACACGTTCGATTGGTCTTTATGGAACCATTTGTCTCTCACTTCAAGCAGCACTTGAGCGAAGACCAGCATGGTTTCACGGCAGGGCGGTCGACTACTTCCAACCTTCTGTGTCTCACCTCGTACATTACGGAGAGTATGACAGACCATATGCTAACAGATGTCATCTACTCTGACCTATCAGCCGCCTTCGACAAGTTGAACCATCCTATAGCGATCGCCAAACTGGATAAGCTACGATGGTTCGCATCCTATCTATCTGATCGTCAGTTGGAAGTTGCAATCGACGACTGTCGATCTCCTTCGTTCCCTGTCACGTCGGGCATTCCGCAAGGTAGCCACCTCGGCCCGTTGATATTTCTTGTGTATTTCAACGACGTCAATTTCGTCCTCGACGGTCCATGACTGTTGTTCGCAGACGACACGAAAATCTATCCCCGAATCTGAGCTATCGCTGACTGCCACCTTCTCCAACTCCAACTCAACGCTTTTGCTAATTAGTGCCAACTGAACCGCATGGTTGCAAATCCAACAAAATGTTCAGTAATCACGTTCTCACGGAAGAAACATCCAATTACATTCAGTTATATCCTAGAAGGCGTTGACGTACATCGTGTGAATCACATTAAGGATCTTAGATTGTCAACTCACACACAGTCAGCATATCTCGTGATCGTGATCGACAAGGTATCCAGAACGCTCGGCTTCATTTTCAGGATAGCTAAAAGTTTCACGGACATCTACCGTTTGAAGTCGCTTTACTGCTCCCTCGTCCGGTCGGTGTAGGAATATTGCTGCCCTGTATGGAATCCCAATTACCAAAACAGTGTACAACGCGTAGAGTCTATTCAACGACGATTCATCTGGTTTGCCCTTCGACGATTGCCTTGGAGGGATCCTCATCGCCTTCCAAGCTAAGAAAGTCGGTGCCAGCTAATTCACCTGGATCCTTTGTGGAGTCGAAGAGATACGACAAGGGCCCTGTTTGTGGCAGACATTCTACAGGGCAGAATCGATTGTCCTTCTATTCTACAACAAATCGACGTTAACGTTCAACCACGAGCACTCCGTAACAACGCAATGCTGAGGATACCTTTTCGTCGTACAAACTATAGTTCGTATGGGCTACAAAGGGTTTTTAATCGTGTTGGTTGCTTCCTTATTTGATTATCACTTGGCATGCGAGACGCTGCGTCAGAGATTCCGTGATATATTTTTAAGAATTAGGAATTAAGTTGGACTTCACGGCCTTTGCAGCTTGTTACTTCTTGACTGTATTGTATTTCCTAGTATTGCTTAATCCATCATTAGGACTAAACCCAGTCTGTTGATGTAGAACCAAATAAACAAATAAACATAAGTTCGTAGTCAAATGTGATTGGTTCTTTCTGATCACTGAACACCAGTGGGGTTAATTAGCATTCTGTTTAAATTTCACCAGCTGATAAAGGCTGCGAACTGACGTTGAAGGAAGTGACAGTCATCAATCGAGCGGATTCGTAGGTAGATTTTTTAAGATTATCTGCATACGATAGTCGTAGGTCTTCGATGACCAAGTTCACCTCATTGAAGTAGAGTAAGGTGACTTCCTTGCGGTACTCCTGGCGTAGCTAGATAGATATCGGACCGGTTGTCACCAATGGCAACCATCAGTTGTCGATCAGTGAGCTATGGACGAAACCATCGCAAGAGGTTGCCGCTGACCCCAAGTCTGTGCAACTTGACAATCGCGATGGCATGGTTTAGCTTATCAAAGGCAGTTGACAAGTCGGTCTTTTTTTTTTTATACAGGGGGGAATCTGCTCACAGACACCTGAGAAGGAACTCAGGGTGTGGGGATGGGAGAATTTCACTCCCGACCCACTAAACCTTACCCTGTGCGCTTGGCCCTTGACCTCCCCGGAACCGCCCGACGGCATTACTTCGTGGGAGGGGCCGCTGTAGCGCTATGGCGCCTCTCTAGCAATACTCTAACGATCTGGTCGGGCAGAAGGTAACTGCTGCTCGACTCGCCACTGTCGTTGTAATACCGAAACTATGTGGGTGACCGCAGTCACCACCGCGCTCCAGTTCTCGGTGGTACCACACATCCTATGAACGATGTTGTCCGGACTGGTATCCGCTCCGCATATCGCTAGCATAGCGCTCGATACTGGCTCGAAACGTGGACAGGCAAACACGACGTGTTCGGCGGTCTCCTCGACACCAGCACATGTGGGGCAGATGGGAGTACTTGTATGTCCGAACCTATGCAGGTAGCTCCTAAAGCAGCCATGGCCTGACAGGAACTGTGTCAGGTGGAAGTTTACTTCCCCATGGCGCCTGTTGACCCAGCTTGATACGGAAGGTATCAAGCGGTAAGTCCACCTCCCCTTTGTGGAGTTTTCCCACTCCAATTGCCATCTCGCGGTCGACACAACTCGCGCGTTGTTGCGCACCCCTCGAACGGTCCTCGCGTCATAGCACGCCACATCCTCCTTAATGATAAGGCTGATTGGCATCATCCCTGCTATGACACAGACGGCCTCTCTCGAGATAGTGCGGTATGCACTGGCCACCCTTAAGCACATTAGCCTGTGTGTACTCTCTAATTTCTGCCTGTGGCAGTCAATATCCAGTACCGTAGCCCACGCAGGGCCGCCGTATCTGAGGATAGATACTACGACCCCAGAGAGGAGCCTGCGCTTACTGGCATTCACTGCCGAGCTGTTTGACATCATACGGGATAATGCCCCCACAGCCATAGACGCTCTCTTGCAGGCGTACTCGACGTGGCAGCCGAAGCTGAGCTTATCGTCGAGCATGACCCCACAGGAGTGGAACTTTGGATCAGAAAGTGGCTCCACTTGTCATTTGCGAACACTAGTGCACCTAGCGGTAGAAGGCATCTTCTTCCTGCAGTTGAGATAGGCAGCATGCTATAATAGTGTGAGTGCACATAGAAAGCCCGTGTGGAACGCTACCACAACACATCGCTTGTTGAGCAGAAAAACGAACACTTTTTGATTCACCGATTTGTTTGCACTTCTCCTTCTGTTCTGTGATGACCCCCAAGAGTTTTAGAGAGCGCACAGACCTAATTGTGCTTCCGCCGACTCCGGGAATTTGGAGCTGGTGTAGCGAGCGGGCTATCGCCCCCCAGCACGCGCTGTTGAACGCGTTCTTCACGTCTAAGGTTAGCACCGCGCAGTAGCGAATGCCCCTTCGTTTCCGATGGACCACCTCTGCCTTCTGGATGGCGTCCACCGTTGATCTGCCCT